GACAGACAGATGGGCAGTCATACAGACAGACATATAGACAGATAGATAGATAGACAGACAGACAGACAGACCATTGAAATAGTTTTTAGTGAAATATAATTCCACTACTACAATTAAGCCCTATTTCTGTTGGTTAAATAACGGCACAATTCATCATCATCAGTGGAGGACAAGCCAAAACACTCATCACTAATCAAAATCCTATAAGCGTTTATTTATTAGTCATCCGGATCTGCACACACCTTACCACCTAACCCTGTAAACAGACTATTTAAAGACACTCACTAATGACTGGGTACGAAAGCTATTGATGGCTTTCTTTTTCTCTCCTCCCTCCCCTCAGGAGTAGATGATAATCAGCACCGTCTGCTCACAAGCTGCATGGATACTCAAGAGAACACACAGTCACACACACAGACCTCCTGGGTTCATCTTTGGCTCAGTGTTAATGGAATAAACTATACTGTGGGTGTCCTCTACAGAGAGGCAAGCGCTAATAAGGCTGGCTATCATATTATACTTACCACCATCCAGATCCCATCATCGTTCCCCAAGAGTGTCAAGTGATTACTGACAGTCACGATCAACTGTTACTGATATTAAGCTTTTGTTTTGTAGCCATGAATAAGCTTAAAGGAGCTTGCTGAATGACAGGAAACATACTCAAAATACTAATATTAAAAGGAGTACTTTTGAAGCATTTTCCCTTAAGTTCACTATTAGTCAAGGGCTATTAGTCAACCCTAAAAGGGATAGTACACCAAAAAATTTAAATTCTCACCTTCATGTCATTCCAAACCTGTATAATTTTCTTTCTTTGGCGCTACATAAAAGAAGATATTTGGAAGAAAACTGATAATCAAACAGTTGCGTTCCCATTGACTTCCATTGTATGCACAAAAAATATGATGGAAGTCAATGGGAAACTATCTATTTGGTTACGAACATTCTTCAAAATATCTTCTTTTGCTTTCTGCTGAAAAAAGAAAGTAATTCAGGCTTCTAATAACATGAGGGTGAGTAAATGATGACATAATTGTAATTTTTGGGTGAACAATCACTTTGAGACTGAGAGAGAGAGAGCGAGAGAGAGAGAGAGAGAGAGAGACAGCCAGTTTTCCAACTGCTCATTGTTCTAATAATGGCTGCTATATCGTATGGCTTCTCATTAATCCTCGCTGGTTAGCACATGGCTGACAGACTGTCACCAATCTCTTTATGTCTTCTCAATCACACACACACTGCTGGGATCAATACCACCTTGTTGGCTCTTAGGAGACAAAGCCATTTGTCTGACAGCTCTGCCAAACCTAAGGGTTTTGGTCACCATCTTTTATCAACACACATACCACACATTCTGTCTCACGCTGTCTCTCCCTTCTTTCTTTCTTTCTTTCTTTCTTTCTTTCCTTCCAAAAAAGCAAAGAATGAATCGTTTCCATAGATGTGTGATACTTACATGAACAAGAGTGGCGAACTCATTTACTAAACCATTCAGCTCCAGTAGGTCCTAAACAAACAAACTACAAGTCACACACACTTAAAGTCTTTGTATTCAAATATATTTATGTGTTTGTAAGTGTTTGCGTGTATTACCTCAGCTAAAGAATCCCAGGACTCAGCGGCGTTCTGTTCTGGAGGGATTTCAGGCAGGAGCAGCTGTGTTTGAGTGACAGGGGAACCGGGCACACCTGTATCACAGTCACCTAACCCATAACATGAAAGTGAAAATGAAAATGCACAAAAATAATAATTAAAACACATCTTGAATAACTTCATAAAGCACAGACACTCTCAGAAACACATACTGTGCAACGTATCCGAGGCGGTGCTGATAGTTTTGTGAGAGTCTTTGCCAATAGTTGGAGCATCCGGCCTATTGATTGCATTCGAGTGAATCCAGAGGAACTCCTGAATGGCAGTGGAGGCTCGATCTTTGATTGGCTGAACAAGTTTCTCCAGAGCTTCAGCATCAGCACTGCGGACCCGCCCACACAACTTCTCCATCTCCCGCAGGTTCGATCGCAACTGCTGCAAGGATGAAAAGTGAAAGTCTTTGTGATAACAGGATCCATGGTTTCATTCAAAACCTCAATATAGTATTTTCCTTCTACACAAATTTGACCTGTTCAATTGAACAAAAAATGTGTATATAACAAAATGGAATATATAACACTGTGTATGATAGTTTAACATCTTAGACCCTAGGATCTGACCCAGTACTGTCAAATTTTAAAATCTGAAACCAAAAATTGCTCACACTTATTTCTCTCCATGCGAGTACAACAAGATACACATTTCATCCACTGCCAACATCTCAGTGTGTTTGTGTGAGTTTGCAGAAAGAGTTGGTAAAATTAAAAAACAATGATTTCCCACTGCTTTTCCATGACTTTTACAGTTGTTGTTTTTTTTTTAAAGAAATAATTGTACAGAAAATGCTGGGAAAGGTTTGTATTTTTTAGGTGTCGATCTTCTTTTAAATTATTATTATTATTATTATTATTTACTTATTTATTTTGTAATGAAAACTACTTTCCTCTCTTCATGGTCTTCACAATTTTTGACAAATAAAATATTGTTACCAGAAAATCTAGGGGGAAAAAAATATATTCATTACAGAAATGCTCATGATTTTTCCAAATACTTTTTAAGATTTGATTATTTTTCATTATACAGGCCTGGATATCACAATTTCCAGATTCACTAATTTTTAAAGGTTTTCCATGTGCAGAAGCACCCCGTGATTATTTATTTTCTCATTAATTTCGAACCAGATGTTGATGAAAACCTGAAGCTATATATATAAAAAAGAACTGGTGCTTCCCATCAGCTCATGTCCAGAAGCAAACATCTAGCAGGGATTACAGATCAATTCATTCGTACTGAATACAGAGGTCCAAGCTAACAGCCGGCCAATCAAAGCTTTCAGCTCAACTGCTCTCATTTCACACTCTGAATAACCATACTCAGGATCATCCCTCTTAAATGATTCACATACACACAGAACACTAAAAGCATTACTAATGTATGCAGCTTGCTTTGTAATATAGAATGGGGACACAAAAAGACGAAATATATCTTAATCTGGGTCAGTCCACCCCACCCCCCAAAGCTCCTTCTATAGGTGTGTGATGAGAGCAATCTAAGGGTTTTTCCTCTCTTGCTCTCTCTCTTTCTGTCCCTGGGGAGCTACTTTAACAATTTCTGTCTTGTTTCCGTCTATTGTCAGTCGTCCACATCTCGCTGACACAGAAACACTTGCAGGCTCTCACACACTCTCTGCAGTGGTGGACACAGAAAAGCTCTCTGGCATCTCTGGGGGAACAAGACCTGGGTGCTAAAGTCACACACACACACACACACAAAACACTTGCAGGCTCTCACACACTCTCTGCAGTGGTGGACACAGGAAAGCTCTCTGGCATCTCTGGGGGAACAAGACCTGGGTGCTAAGGTCACACACACACACACACACACCGATGGCGGCACATAACACACTCCAAGGACTGCCAAAGACGAAATATATCTTAATCTGGGTCAGTCCACCCCACCCCCCAAAGCTCCTTCTATAGGTGTGTGATGAGAGCAATCTAAGGGTTTTTCCTCTCTTGCTCTCTCTCTTTCTGTCCCTGGGGAGCTACTTTAACAATTTCTGTCTTGTTTCCGTCTATTGTCAGTCGTCCACATCTCGCTGACACAGAAACACTTGCAGGCTCTCACACACTCTCTGCAGTGGTGGACACAGAAAAGCTCTCTGGCATCTCTGGGGGAACAAGACCTGGGTGCTAAAGTCACACACACACACACACACACACACACACACACACCCATGGCGGCACGTAACACACTCCAAGGACTGCCCCATAAGAGGCCCGGACAGACTCTCAGAAACATTAACACACAGGTTACATGCTTGTCTGGCCATTAGGTAGAGAAAAGACATCACACATACACCATCACGTACACCAGAGACCTGAGTCAAACATTACTTAATATATATATATAGACATGTCTCACAGCTGTATCAGCATAGGATGAAGGCATGTTTCTGATGAGATCTTGTTATCATGTTCAGAGAAATTTTTGAATGCACAGATTAATTCCTTTTAATTTTTGTTTAACCTGCATTGAACCTGATCAACATGATGACATTTCCTTTTGGCTTAAAGGTATAGTTCACCCAAACATGAAAAATCTGCTTACTTACCCTCATTCCTTTTTAAGATGTAGATGAGTGTTTCTTCATTGGAACAGATTTTGAGAAATTTAACAATAAATCACTTGCTCACAAATGAATTTTCTGCAGTGAATGGGTGCCGTCAGAATGAGAGTCCAAACAGCTGATAAAAACATCACAGTAATGAGTACATGAATTTATGTCTTGTATAGTGAAAAGCTGTGTGTTTGTAATAAACAAATTAATCATTAAGATATTTATGAACTGATGTGGTTTGAATTACTTGTGGATTATGTTTAAGTTTTTTATCAGCTGTTTGGACTCTCATTCTGATGGCACTCATTCACTGCAGAGGATCCAGTGGTGAGCAAGTGAAGTAATGCTACATTTCTCCAACTCTGTTCCGATAAGAAATTCATCTACATCTTAGATGGCCTGAGGGGAAATACATTTTCAGCAAATTTTCCTTTTTGTGTGACCACTTCCTTTAATATTGTGTTTAAAAAAAAACAAGTTATTTATAGTAGAATGTACAAGCTGCTCTTTATCATACAATGAAAGTGAATGGTGACCATGGCTGTCAAACTAGTTTTTAAGTTAACTATTATTAGCAATTTCAATTTCAAATGACTGTGATTGTATGGAAGGTAGCAGGGTTAGGGTTAGGTAAAGATGACAGAACTTCCATTTTTGGCTAAATAATCCCTTTTAACTGTGCCCATATGATGTTAAGATTTATTATGCAACTTAACCATGGCAACAGCCTGTTACATCACTAAGAATGATTTGTCTGAGCAACATTCCACAGTGCCTTGTGGCACATGGGAATATTTTCAAACCAGGTCACTACCCTGAGAAAACCAACAAAACCAACAATAAAATGGATATTTTTTGTGAACTGAAACAACACATATGAATCCAAATCCCACTAGGCGTTAATGGTAATTGTCCCACACTTTGCGACCATGACTTTTCCAGTCATTTGCATGTGGATAAGGATTTTTACATTTTATGGAAACTGAACTCTCAAGAATAACTTATAGACAAAGAAATACTACAGAAGAGCATATCATGTCGAAAACAGTTGTGCTTCTTAATATTTTTGTGGAAATCATGATACATTTCAAGATTCTTTGATTAATAGAAAGTTCAAAATTTATTTTGTAACATTACAAATGTCTTTACTGTCACTTTTGATTAATTGAACACATCCTTGCTAAATAAATATTTCAACTTCTTTAAAAACAAACAGTGCCATAGTTATTGTTGATCCTCGCAATTTCACATTTAAATGTAAATGTAAAAAAATTGCATTATTACAATTTTGTTGTACCTGGACAGTGCGGCTGGAGTTGATGTGCTCTTGGTGAAGTTTATCCCACTGACTGTTTCTCTGAAACTGTGAAAAGGAAGCTTAGTTAATTTGACAGCGTTATCTGTTTATGTACACTTAATAAAATCTCCTCATGATCACAGCCTGGTAATTCACAATCATCTAGGTTTCCATGGTTCTGCAAGATCCCCCAAACCCCATTATTGTATTCTATGTTCCTCAAGCAGGCTGACCGGGAGAGATTTCAGATACACCGTCAGCTATTCAGCACTCGACTCACTGTGGTGACCACACACAGACACATGGCTCTCTCTGTTGACCATATGCTGAGTTTTGGATGTGATGTACTGGGCTTTGCTGTCGCTGTTCATGTGTGTGTGTGTGTTTGTACCTTTTCTATGTTGTGTTGGTGCTGGTGCAGTCTCTCCAGGTCAGTGGGAATGGCCACTTTAATGAATTTCTGAATGGGGGGCTCCAGACGCAGAAGTGGAAGCTTTCCAGCCTCCTCCGCCATCATGACCGTCTCTTATAATGTCACAGGCTTAACGAATCCATACATAATTAGTCTTCCTCTAAAAGACAGAAAGAGAGAATGTGACAGTTAAACCATATATGAAATTAAATGGGGTTTTTTTATATTAAAAATGTATATTACAAAATGATTAAAGATAATACAGTATTAAGTTAGGGGAGGGTAGTTTGGGGTAGTTTTTCTCTATCAGAAAATAAAATTAATTAATTAACAGTACTGGTTAGTATCATGGTAAAATGATAGCAACAGATGGTAATATTATGGTACTTTTGATATATGCTATACCATGGTACTGAATGCATAATTTTGTACCATATTATTTACATTGTACTCTGAGATACTTCACAGAATATAGTCCAACCACACGGTAATGCTATTACCATGTTATATGTGTAGAAAACATGGTAAGATACTAAAGTGCAAGTGTCACATGTCAACAACATTATGTCAGATGTCAGACAACACGTCTAGCGTGATAAGACTGTTACACTATCAGTGTTAGCTGGCAAAACAGGACTGTGTGTTCACATTATCATGCTCAACATAATACTTTTAATAAGCCATAATAATAAAATCCCTAGGGCAAACAGATGAGTATAAGTTCAGCTAGCTTGCTACACTCCCTCAACAGAGACTTTATTCAGCTCTGTGATTGTAAACCACATACTGAAACTGCATTTTTTTCAGTTTCATATAAGTCTTTCCTTACCTGTCGAGAAAACAGCGAAGACCTGCTGTCGATGATTTTAGTCACTGCCACTAACTTTGTGTTTGTAAAGAGTTTCGCTTTGTGCTGTGTGCAACTACAAAATGTGTCCGTTTATGGCTCTATGCGGAACTAAAACTGTTTTAAAAGAGTGAACGTGCTGGTCAACTTTATCATCCAGGAGATAACACTCTTTACAAATAAACAATGTTTAGTAACGAAAAAATGCTAATTGTTGCATATGAAATAGCAAAGCTAAATACTTAAGTTTACTTTTACTTACTTTTTTTCTGGGAGAAGTAACTATAGCCTATAATATTTAATGTCCACATTTGGACTTGAAAAGTTATTTGCAATACTTATGAAATGTTTATTTTCACATTTTACCATCTGAATCGTTAGAGAGAGAGAGAGAGAGAGAGAGAGAGAGATTTGAAAAACGTGGCATTTCTCCGAAAAAATGCTAATTGTTGCATATGAAATAGCAAAGCTAAATACTTAAGTTTACTTTTACTTACTTTTTTTCTGGGAGAAGTAACTATAGCCTATAATATTTAATGTCCACATTTGGACTTGAAAAGTTATTTGCAATACTTATGAAATGTTTATTTTCACATTTTACCATCTGAATCGTTAGAGAGAGAGAGAGAGAGAGATTTGAAAAACGTGGCATTTCTATTTTTTCACATTTCATAACAATAGCGTAGGCCTATATATTATGTTATGAAATGTGAAAAAAGAGACATGTCAAATGTACAAATATATTTTAGATCATTAAAAATATATAGGCCTACTTCTTACCTGATGTCAGAGATGTGGAGTGTCTTTCTCACATACTGTCCTTTCTAATTCTAAGCTGTCAAAAAAAAAAAAAAATCTTCCTACAAATCATTATGTTCAGTGAGTTATGTAAAAACGTACAGTACATAACTGTTGCCATATCCAAAGAAAGTCTAAAACAAATTTGTCCAGAGGATTGGAATGATGAGGTTATCAGAAAGTGATTAGATAATGTTTACAGAATTGTATCACATACTTTGCAAATCCTACTCCAGTATTTAAAGCATAGTATGCATATTAAATGTGCAATAAAGTAATATTAGTTACATTATTTTCTGTGTATGTAAATATAGGAGGACTGTTGGGTATAATTAAGGTTCAGACACACTGCACACACCTGCTCTTCCCTCAGCGCCCCAATGATCAGTGTTTCCGGCTTTAGGGAGCACCAACGGATTAACCACATGTGAGCACTGAGATCCAACCAAAGCCCACTGTGTGCTCCCTCCCTCCCTCCCTTTCTCTCTCTCCCGCTCTCTCTCTGGGTATCTTTATTTCTGTATCTCCCAAAGGCTTTTTGTAGGTTTATTTTCCAGCCACACACATACACAAACAGAAAGACATAGAGAGAGATGTAACCACCATTTCAGTTCATAAAGAACCTACAAAGAAATCACCCACACAACCAGCGTGAAAAGCCACACTGCAGACGACAATTTTCTTAATTTTATTTTTCAGGTACAAACCACCATATCTACATGACTAATAATCACTGCTCCGTTCTCCAATTGACTGATTACTATCACAATAAAAAATAAATAATTAAATAAATAAATCTACTAAGAAAAAGTATGTGTATTATTTTTGTTATTTTCTTTATGTATTTTATATACATATTTATAATAAAACATATATTTTTACATTCTTGGATTCTTTTATGTATAAACATTTATGAATATACATATATCATAAATTCATTTTCTTAAATACACTACAGTTAAAATATTGGGGTTAGTAATATTTTTTAAGAAATTAATTTTCATTCAGCATTAAATTGATCCAGTAAAGATATTATACTGTTACGAAAATATAGCTGTTCTCATGAACTTTCTATTCAGCAAAGAAAACTGAAAAAAAAATGTATCACGTTTCCACAAACATATTAAGCAGCACAACTGTTTTCAACATTGATAATAATAAGAAATGTTTCTTAAGCACCAAGTCAGCATATTAAATTAATAATTTCTGAAGGATCATATGACACTGTAAGCATACTACAGTAAGCATTCGGTGTTTCAAACACAGGAAGAAAGTACATTTTAAAACATTATTAAACAGTGTTGGGGAGTAACTAGTTACATGTAACGGAATTACTTAATTTAATTACAAAATAAATGTAACTGTAATCTGTTACAGTTACTAAGAAAAAATGTGTAATTAAATTACAGTTACTTATGAAAATGTTAAAGATTACAAAGGGGGTTGCATCTGAATATTTTCACACACATACAGATTTGATTTATTTCTTTCCCAAAATTGCATCGACTGCTCTAAAATATGAGACACCAATGTTTCAGAAGTTTATAACATGCTTATCCGATAGGGTTTATGTATATGCTTTATTTTTTTAAGATTGACTATTTTTTTCTATGGCATTGTTAGATTCCAGTGTTTCCTGTCATAGCTATGCAAAGATTT